AACACACCAATAAAATAACCAACCTTGACAGTGCCTTCCATCACCGGTAAATCCTGGAAGACAAGTGCAAGTAAAAGTGCTGTGTGTGTTTAAGCACAGCGCATCTTTGTGACAGCCGTGAGAGGTTCCCTTGCATGCATCCTGATCTGTAGCAGTGAACACACATAGAACAGATGAACATACTCACGTCCTCTTGCCATAGTTGGGGCATGGTGGGCACACACAATGTACGGCCGTTGCAAGGTCTTCCAATCTGAAAATCTGCAGGATAGCCTGGATACACCCAATGTACCCTCTCATTTAGCAACAACAAAATCAGATGGAAAGTGAAAGAGACTTGCGCAAGATGATCACTCTATCCAAGTACACGAGGAAGCCATGTGAATCGACCCCTGATGCACATCTGATGCTCATCCGCTCTGCACTACACAGTTAAGGTAAGTAGTTCACAAGCAGTATTTTCAGTGAAGACTGTAGAGTAATGAATACACACCATCAGGGATGTTCTTTTACTTCTCAACATGTCCCTTTCGCAAGCGAGAGCAACTGCCTCAGACAGAATGCACTGGCTCAAAGTTGCTGCTAGATACACCACCCCCATTTGATTTTTCAGATGGGCAATATGCGTACTGTATTATTGGCCTTAATGGTTTTAAGATGAAAAAAGCACATGGGTGAATAAAATGAGTACCAAGTACCTGCAACTCATTTGTCTTTACAGGATTGGAAGAACTTCAAATTCAAAGGATCACTCAGGGAGGTGAACTGCCCGAAACAAGAAAAAACCCAGACCCTCCAGGACTCAGAACCGGGACCTTGCTTGTCAGGAGCAATGCTCTAATCACCTGAGCCATGGGGCCAGGCCGAACCTAGAAGGCGCTGACAAGTTCTTCAGTCCAAAGGCAGCAGCTCACAACACGTTCCACGCAAACAGTTCACTCCCCCGACTGATCCTTTGAGCTCCTTTGTTGTTTGGAATCATTGTAATGGCTACCAAGGGTCTCAATGTGCCCGCTGAGGGTGCATGGAAAAGAAGAGGAGGAGAGACGATTGCATGCATAAATGCTGACTGAGTAATGCGACCGGAGATTATCAGGATACTAACAAAACCTAAACCATGGATGTACAACACTGCAGAGATTCGGAGCTGTGAACACCTCTCTTAGGGCTACTTCTGGGGAGTTTGAAAGAATTGAAAACGTGACGCCATGATGAACTTACGGACAGCTGACGGATATAGGTGAACTGTGAACAAAAAATAGACAAATTGCCACAACATGGTTATGAAATGAAATAGCATTAGAAACCGTAGTGAAAAGTTATGTTTTCCCTCTTGAATAGAGGCAAACCTTCAGGAACAACCTGTCTTCCACAATAACCCACTACCGTATTTTCCGGAGTATAGTGCGCACTTTAGATGTGCTATTTTAGGCCCTAAATCGCAGGTGCGCACTATGCTCTGAATATGAAATGCATGTACTTCAATGAAGATTGAAGTGCGCACCCTCAATGAAGATTGAGGGTGCGCGTTATACAAAGGTGCGCACTATACTCCGGAAAATAGGGTACCAATACACAAAAGAAAAAGATTGTAAAATCGTAAATTTTGGTATAGATATGACGTCCCAATAAGCTAATATGGACAAATCATGGACAGCGAATATCCAACTCTACATTTATGTTTTAACCCTTTGAGGGCGAAGGACGATTATATCCGATTTTTAAGGTATGGCTGGATTCCTAGAGACGAGTATATCCGTTTTTGAGAAAATTGCGATATCGATATATTTTTAGGTGCTTGAAGTCGCTCATATGTTACTCAAACAAGTACGATCTGATTCTTCGTCAAGGTGAGACTTGTCGCAGTCGATCCGCGTTGGTCCCGTTGAGAACCGGCCGCATTTGAGTATACTCAGAGAATGCGCCGATCGAGAAGTTATTTGGAATTTGAAACTAACTTGTTAATTCCTTCGCGTCATTAAAATTGTCGCTTCGCACATCGCAATATTTGAGACTTGGCTCGTCTTAGTCAGACTGTCGGAATCGCTGTTTTTTTTGTGTTCGAACACTGGTGCCACCCTTCCTGCTCAATGTCTACTTGTCACTGAAGCCGTGGTGGTCTCGGACGTTGTCGGAGCTCTCTTCCGCACCGAGCAAATTCATCACGCTCCGCACTATTCCGCCCCAGAGCGCATTTCGTTTTCTGGAGTTCGTGCCGTCCCACATCGTTTGCGTGGGCATTTATCAAGACTGCAAGCTCGGGTATAAGAATCCTGGTATCTTTCCTGAATACGAAATGCTGAAGTTGACGATGGTAAGAACAAAGCGGTCTCAAATTCCTAAAATGTGCTACTTGTGGCGCTACTTGTGGCGCATGTTGCTGCGAAGGTAGCAGGTCTGAAAACACCAACAAAATCAGCGAAGCGCTTGCCAAGGAAAGAAGGTGCGAAACTGCTTACCCTATCCCGCTGAAAGGTCGCTACAGTGTACTTGAAAAATG